CCGATGGCAAACACCGGGGGGGGGGGGGGGGGGGGCACCAAGCTCGGTTTGCTGTATGGCTTGCCCCATGCCTTCGATCACCAATGCCGTTCGGCCCAGACAGATGCGACCACAGCATCAAGCGGCGATGCTGTCGAACGAGAGATCCCTGCCCAATCTTCATGGACATCTATCCTGACGCATGTAGTACCCCACATCATCGAGCCGCTGCCCCCGCCCGCCCCATCCCTGACCCTGCCGGCCGGCTACGATGACGTGGTTAGCCATAATTGTTAGAAGACGCAGCCGCGGTATACGGCGTAAAATNCCTTCGTGCCCCTCGTGTCCCCCACCACCACGGACGACCGCATGCCGTACGTCGCCTCCGCCGCGGACTCGTTCGTGTACTGCGTTAGGTCAGTCTGCCCCCCCCCCCCCCCCCCCCCCCCCCCTTCCCAAGACAAAACTTCTCTTACCTCCCCGTCCTTGCCCTTGCCGCCGATCTGCTTCTCCCCCAGCTTGAGCGACCGCGAGGCCTCCGCGGCGGCGGCGGCGGCCTGATCGGCCGCCGCCTTGGCCCTCCTCGCGTCGTTCTCGGCCTGCACGCGCAGCCTCTTCTCGGCGTCTCGCTCGGACCTGCAAGCGAGAACAACAACAAAAAAAATCAGCACTCTTCGGTTCAAGCACACCAACTATAAATGTCGGGCACACAACACAGACACACGGTCCCAAAAACACACGCGCCTCTCTGGCCTACATGCGAATTATAGTAGCAGTTCCAGCAGACGTAACTTGGTGTGGCACACAAATATAGGTGACGCACCGCACCCGAACAAGGACCACTGGGATGTTCACATTTGCATCCAAATTGTTATGATATTTTCAAACAGATGTTCGTATGCTCGGTTCAGCTCGGCGTTCACTCAGAGAACGAAGCCAGGTCAATTTTCAGAGTCTTCCCATATGTGCCCCTTATGCGGTCTGTTGGACTGCTTCCACGAAGAACTAAAGTTCAATGTTTGGAAGAGAGAAGCAGGGGCCCCGTAGACTGAAAGTCAAAAACCCTACCCGAAACCCCCAACATCACCACCGACTCCATACTTTTATCCACCAAATGCTTATTAAAAATCAAAACTGATTTGGCCAATTTTGTTTTCTGTTTCAACCTATCTCATCCTATGATAGCCTTATCCACGCTAAGGCAGTGAAGCGCTTGCGCTTCCAGAAACAACAGACACACTGGAGGAGACAACGCTGCCGTGCACATGAACGAGAACTGGTGGCCAAGGTTTGGCTACCACGCAGGTTTGATTGATGGCCACCGATCGTCCTTACCACCTTCACCATATTACCGGGGCCCCGCCACGGAAGTTTGAGGGCGTGGCCACAGGGTTGTTAACGACAAGTTACAAACTTTTCCATAACCCCCTCGGTGGTGGAGAACGGAACTAACGACTGTGGGATAAACAAGCCCACCCAGCAACGATCCCCCGCCTCCCCCCTGGTGCTGCAGTTACCCACCTGAGCTCGTCGGCGGCATGGGCCGCTTTCTCTTGTTCTGTTTCGACGACAATTAAATTAACGGGCGGAGACATCGGATGACAAGTCAAATCGAACAGCAAGGTGGACAGGGCAAGGCAAGGCACGGGGGGTCCTCTTGATTCTTGTTACAAAGTTTTCATGCTCGACCAAAAAACCAATCCTACGCGCTGTTTCGGTCCTGAAGCGTCTGTTGTCCGGCTTGCTTCAACTCCATGTGCAGAGGGTACAAACAAAAAAAATAGAAAAATACTGACGCCGTGACGAGCACATGTTGCAGGTAACGCTCGACAACGTGCACCCGCGCCTTCTCGTCTACAGACGGGGGCGGCACTACTTGACCAGTAGCCTTCGCGACAATATTGAATCTTGGTTTTCGTAGGGGGTACGGGTTGGCTAAAGGGGGTACTGTAGGGTTAGGGATAAACAACCCCCGCCCTGCCTATTTCATAAAAAAATAAAAAAAAACACTCGCGAGGCGGTCCACCTTGATTCCACAATAACGAGGTTCCCAACACCAATAACAGCAACCAGAAAACCACAACAAAACAAGACGAAGCTGAAATAAACCGCTTCTCTTACCGTCGAGGGCCCGGTCCAGCTCATCCTCCAGGTCCTCCACGCGGTCCTCCGCGTACTTCTTATCCTTGAGCCACTTGTCCCACTGCTCGGGGGTGAAGTCCGGGACCTTCGTCATGTCGCTTCGTTTCTCGTGCTACTTAAAAAAATCACCACGCGCGCGGAACCCCGTCCCACCCGACAGCGCGCGCCGGTCCCCCCGACGACCGCCGCCAAACAAGCCCCCCGGCCACCCTGTCGCCCGCAGGAAGGCCAGGTATAAACACCGACGGGCTCGGTGCGTATGAGAACGAGCAACACAGCGGCGAAAGAATGACTTGGTCTGGGGTGTGGACCCGCAGGCGGAGATTATTGAGCGGGAACCGTGGACTCCGTCGCCTGCTTGATACCGCCTCCGTCGTGTAGGAGCTCCTGTTCTCCGTGGCTGTTGCTACAGTCTATTGTGTCTGTCGCGCAAAATCTGGATAGACAAGAGCCGCGTTGTGCGTCCAGGACAAGCGGGTGCACCGCGACATAAGATCGAAAAAGACAGGTAGGGGGGTGGGAGGGCAGGCGCGAAAGCAACCATTGGGCTTTTTAGAAGTTGCGTGCGTTCCTTGCGGCCCTGTGCAGGGTCGTCCTATGTACGCGAAAATACCGGCTGTAATTATTCGGAGAGCCAGGTCCGGGAACCAGCGAAAGGGCTAAAACACACGCAGCGACAAGATTATCGTCAGCCGCTGAAAAGCAGCTAAGCCAGTTGTCGGGGTGTTTAGTATGACCGCGCTCATAAGGCATACCCGTTGCCACAAGTGGCCAAAAGTGGTGATTGACGAAACAGCAGAATAGACCCGAGTGTTTTACAGGACCGCCTGCGCCACATACAACGGGGACAATATTTATGTTCGTGGGTGAACGGAATACGCCTCCACTCTATCGATGAGGGAAGGGCTTACTCCAACGATTTCTCGCGATAACACTAGCGACAAGAGCACACGTGAGGGAGAGGGAGATACTGCGAGCGGCGGGAACATGTATGTTGCAACACTCCGAGAACACAAAACCAACAGAAAGGGCGAAGAAAACAAAAGGCTGGGGGGCAGACGGACGGCAGCAACAAACAGCAGCCTCAATATCTACGAATGGACAAAAAGTCGAACGTTGGAGCCCCCACGGTACAAAACAAAATTGCACCTGCTGATTGTCACACTCACACCATCTACCTTTAAGAATTGCAGCATGTCACCCCTCACATTTCATACCTCAAGAAAAAGTCATGGCTGTGTAATGCGAACGTAGCACGCTCGCATACCGCTGTTTCTACGTCATTACTCGTGCTACAGACATATGTGTCGCCACCGTTGGAGCTACAGGAACATACAACGAAACACGAAATTGCAGCACATGGCCCTCATGTCGCGCTGTGCGCACGCACTCTGCTTAGCTAGGCTATTCCTAAGTTAACTTTAGCAATGCAGCGTGCAACTACTTGTACAGAAACAAACTTGCAGCACACGCTGCATGCAGAACCTACCCCTCGTTACAAAAAAACACAAAAACATGCCGCCAACTGTTCCAAAAACCTGACATGTCTGGGTATATCAAATGCACACCATTCCGTAAGGGTGCACATATTCACACACCCGACGGACCAACTACCCAACCTCCTCCCTCCACACCTTCCCAGCATAACATCCAGATAGATACAAAAGACGGCTACCGATCTGTATCGATGACCCTGTTACCCACGGGGGAGATATCATTGTGTGCTGCTCGGGAAACCGTGGAAAAACAGAATTTTCGCTTACGCTATAGATTCATTGCTTATCTATCTTGGACTCTTTTCTTCGTTAGAGATGGGTTCATTGGGTCACATTGATGAAATAAACAAAAAAAAGTAAAGGGTTTGCCCGCGTGCAGGCAAGAAGACCAAAGTATGAATTGATTGCTAATCTATCTTGGACTCTCTTCTTCTCTTAGATATTTAAGAGATGAATTCGTTGGGTCATATTCAGAAAAATGAAAACAACATTGGCATTGCAATCGAAACATTTGGATCCTTCGGGCCTTGTATATGAGAAGTCTGTGAAGAAGGGGGGGGGGGGCTTTTCACTACAACCTCATACGGTACTGCTGCGGCAGAATATCCCTCGAGTCTAGCGTGTACCAATTTCGGCCGTCGTCACTGGACCTTGACTGCAAGGACTTCGGTGAACATCCCTGAGTATCGGCTTGAGGGGGAGGAGCACTGCTTGCTTTCTGTGATGTCAATGCTGCCTCCTGCACACAATCCTTCAAGTGTTTGCGCAGGGGGGGGAGAAGAGAAGATCAAACCATAGACTCCTCAGTTCTTTTTGTTGTCTTGACATCAAAAACCGTTCCAGTCTCCGCTCAGTACCTTCTAATGTCCGCGCTGGTCCAACTGACGCGAACGCCTTCCGTGGTCACAAGCCAATTGCCTCCAAAGGGGGACCTTCTAAGCGCTGACCATAAATGTTTGATTTCGGCTACAGTTGGGGGCAACGCTAGGACTATGGTTTTGTAGTAGTGTACAGCGGTTGAGTCCCACCCGCCTTCTCCCTCCCATTCTTGCCATGATTATTGTTTACACTGCAAGTCCCCTCCCTGCTCAATGCTGTGAAAACTCATCAACGAAATACACTACTCGGTTTTCACCCAAGCATTAAATCGACTTTACTAGAGTACTCGCTTTCCACCGAATAATTACAGCACTCCGGTGCGAGAGAGAGAGCGATTCGACCCCACAACCTGCAGTGCACTGCTGACCCACCACACCACGTAGGTCAGCGGGGCGACCGGACCGGACAAAAAATGTCGGCTTGCCTACAGCAACATACCTCACTGTCTCCCCTTACCCTCGAGCAACGCACTTCTGCTGTCAGTTGTGGTAAACACCTCCCTAATCGTAGCGATGCACAGGCTCGTTCGTTGCACCATCACGTAAACGTGACAACGCTTGGCAACAACCAACGGTTGCGGCGAGAACCTGAACCGACGAGAGAAGGTTTCTCGAAACGTTTGAGCCAATTCGCTGAACATGCGCGAAGGCGTGTGCCTTGTTCATCTACACAATACCATGTGGTAATGCCTCTACCTCTGTTTGGCATGCTGCCATTGTTGTGGTTCTCGAGTAGGGTATAATGGGAGACAAACAGCTCGTGGTAGCAGGTAGCAACGCGATGCACACCATCTAACAGCAATGTATGTGTATATATATCCACGGGCAGAACAACGGGAAAACCGCGAACTTTCAATTAAAAAAACAACTCGCATGCTGTACCAGTAATAATGCAACACGAGCCTTCGTTATCTTGGCGTTCAGGCCAGAACATCCGAATCAGTCGAACGGCGGAGGTGGCACAGCAACCGCTATGGCAACAGCACATACCCCTCTGCCAGGCATGCTTGCCATGTACAGGAGTTCCCGGAGGATCAGACGGCCCTCTCAAGGTGAAGGGTGAGAATGGAATGGCTTCACTGGAGCCGAACGAACGATACTAACGGCAGGGAGCGAGGGAGAGACACCCCGAAAGGAACATTCAACACCAACAACACTGCACCCTTAACCTCGAAGCTACCTTCCAGGTTCGCGTAATTTGCTGCCCAGTTAGGACCGCGGATGAGTACGGCATGGTATCACAGCAGCGGGATTGTCTCCTCTGTATGCTACATGGGCTCTCCTTCTTTCCCATCAACTGACGACACCAGACGGGGATTTTGATGGCCTGTTCTTTGTCTACTGGAGAAGGAAAAATACCACCGCGCAGACCTCGCTCAATGTTTCGGCACATCCCCTCTCACACAAGAACGAAAATTGTGACGATGGGTGCGAGGCAGAGGGGCAAGGTGAGCCAAACACCCGGGGCCGGGGCCCGTCGTGAGGGATGTGGCACACTGGTAGTTCTCCTTGGCGTCTTTCGGGGCAACACTGCCTGCTGTGCAAAACCTGTAGTCAGCTGTTGGGAACATCTTCGCGGAGAGGGACATACATCACGTCTCTCGCTTCATGTCTTGGAACGACTGATACACCGACCGTGGAGAACACACATTAGGATGGGTACCAAGCGTGCATCTTCTTCCTCGTCTTCGTCTGGAAAATAGTAAGACGTATCACTCACCTCGCGACGACAGTACGCTCGATAGGCCAAGTGGACAAAGAGGGACAGCAGCAAACGTCTCTCAGCAGCAGGAGCCAGCAGGTGGAAGGCGGACGTATGCAGAGCTCATCTTCGGTTGGGGGGGTTGTATTTCTCCAGGAGGCGTTTTGGGTATGGCGCGCCAGCGAGAAGAGGCGGTGCACAGGAGTGAAAACAGGGGGCCCAAGAGACCGAGCAAGTCATCAGGCGGTAAAAGGAGATCGCAACAGGAGTTTTTGCGCGGGCGAGCGCGCTCACGCGCAGCGAAAGAGGGAAGACGGCGCCAGGGCAAAGGTTAGAGTCGTGTTGATTGGAGACGGGAAGGAACCGCGCACAATAAAAAGGGAGGAGCTACGATTTTTTCCAACATCTGGCGCGCGATTGCGAACACCACATCTGGAGCGATGCCAGAAGTGGGGGTCGCGGCGACAGCGCCAACCGATACCGCTGCCGCCGCCAACACCACCGACAGCGCCACCCATCCAGCGGAAGTAGGCTGCAACGACGACAAGCAAGGGAGCTCTTTGCCAACGGACTCCGAGATGAATAGCCCCACCAGGGACCTCATGTCTGAAGGAGAGGGGCAGCATGGAGGACAACAACAACAACGGCGCCATGGCGGAGACGATGATGACAGGGGGCAGGAGAAGGGCGGTTCAAATGAGGAGGTAAGTGGCGGAGTTCTTGAGCAGTGTCGTTGTCCCGGCCTACGTCCCGCAGAGCGCAGCAATACCTCTCCTTTATGTTTCGAACATTCATCAGACGGACCGTTGGTTGCATGCCTACATATGCTCACAAACACACACAGCAGCGGTGGGTGCACAGATGCTGTACAATCATCCCGTGGGCCGCTCTCCCACAACCCCGCTGTTGTAGTGGTCTATCGGATGAAGCCTCTGGTTTTGTGCGTAACCTGGCAAACGCTTGGTGAGCCGTCCCGAGCGACGTTCGTGGTGAATAAGAGGCAGTTTCATTCCCAACTCTTAACCCCCTGTTTCTCTTCATCGTACAGCAGTAAGCATCTCTCTGTCGGGGGACGTTGCTCTCGCCAAGCGACACCGTCTCGCTCTTGCTCACGACGCGACCATGAACCACCACGGCGCCTCCGCAGCCTGCGCCAGCACTGCTGCTGGGCAGGTTTGACCGCGCAAACTGAGCGAAGCTATAACGCGGGGGCTGGCTGCCCGCGCTACTGCTGTACACGGCTTGCCTCTGCATTTTGGTTGTCACGGGTGCATGGATCCCACCAAGCGTGCTGCAAACACCCTGCTGCTGCTGCTGCTGCTGCTGCTGCTGCTGTTGGCGTCGCTTCCCCTGTGCCTCTCGTCTAGAAAACATATGTACACAAGTCTGTTTCACACGCACCGTCAGCGGTAGCATTTACCGAGAGCACTGATGGACTTCTCACACAGAAAAGCGGCTTTGCTGATTCGTCTGCGTCGGAGAGCATGTAAAATAGACTATGTTTTTCCGTTGGGTCCATTTGCTTCGTTTTTTCAAATAACGGTCTTGCATCTGCTGTGCCGTGTGCAAAAACGTGACTCACCGGCTTTTTCCCGGTTACACACCACAGCAGCGGAACAGCGACCCCAGCCCCCTTTTTTCTTGAAAGAAGAGCTCGCCAATTCTGCCCTCCGTGTGCACGCGCTTTTGTGCTAAATATATACTCTTGTACAATGCAGAACGGAGGAAAATATTCTGTTTGAAAGAATTCTCAACCAAGTACTTTCTTTTTCTGAAAAAGAACGAGAAAGATATTCAATCAGTTTGAAAGAATTCTCGACTAGTCAAGTACTTATTTTTTCTGAAAAAGAACGAGACGGATATTCAACCAACGTTCAACCCCCTTTCGAGCCGTTTTCGAGGTTTCCAATGAACTGCTTCGTAAAGTATGCTGTTTTTTCTCTTGTCGTGTGCTTGAGAGGGACAGTGTCTTCTCGTCCGTATGCGCACGGTTTAATCCCCCACCCCCCGACGCCCACCGTTTATGTCAGTAATCGTCGGGCTTGTGTGTACGGGGGGCATCGTTCGCAACCTGAAGTGGTCCATTCACCTTTGGACGATTTTACAGTTCATTCGTCTCGTTTCCAAGATTGTCGCGACATTTCGCGAGTTCGGTGTTGTTCCCGTGTGATGGTAACACAACCGCGATTCCCCCCCGCCCACACGTTCGGACTGATGCCGCGCTCAAGCATAAGGCAGGAGAATCGACGGCCGGGCCGAACGAAGCGGCAGCGGGATCGAAAGAAGCGACGGAGGAACCGAAAGAGGCTACTGAGGAACCGAAAAATGTGGCTGAGGGATCGAAAAATGCGGCGGAGGGATCGAAAGAAGCGACTAAGGAACCGAGAGATGCGACCGAGGGATCGAAAGATGCAACTGAGGGATCGAAAGATGCGGCTGAGGAACCAAAAGATACGGCTGAGGAACCAAAAGATACGGCTGAGGGATCGAAAGATGCGGCTGAGGGATCGACGGAAGCTTCAGAGGGACCGAAAGAAGCGACAGCGGGATGGAAAGAACGTGCCGAGGGATTGAAAGAAGTGACGCGGGGATCCAAACAAGCGTCTGAGGGACCGAAAGAAGCGGGGGGTGGATCAACAGCGATGGAGGAACGGAAAGAGGCGACTGAGGGACCGAAAAAAGAAGGCGCCCAGGGACCGAAAGAAGGGGCCGAGGGATCGAAAGAAGCGACGAAGGGATCGAAAGAAGCGACTGAAGAACCTAAAAAAGCGACGGCAGGAACGGCCGCGCTAGGAATGGAGATGGAAATTGACGACCCACCTGCTGCTACCCCTGCCCAATCAAAGAAACGCCGCCGAGAAGACGGGCCAGAAGAAGACCCTAGCGCCGGGGCAGTTGAGAAGGCCTCAGGTGTGTCTTCAGAAATATTCTGGCTGAAGAACGTAGCACAGAGATGGACCTTCGGGATGGGTGGGGTATGGGCGCTCTCTCCTGCCACTGAGAGGCTAGCATGTCAAAGTGTACATTCGTCGCGCAAGTTTGTAATTGTAAGTGTTGCGCTAGAACCCCTACACTCGCACCTATGCATCGGTTCTTTTGTCGTTCTCGCTACGGCTGAATCGTGCTTGTGCGCCTCTCCTTACCCGACTTGCTGCTCGATTACCTTTTTGCCGTCCCCACCAGGAGAGAGCGACGCTAGCATGGTGATCGAGGCCGGCGGCGCCGGGGCTCAAGAAAGCGAGCGGGACTCGCGGCGGCCAGGCCCGGAAACGCCCAAGCCACTGGAGGACCCGAAGGTGGACGAGGTCGTGTCGCAAGACCTGGCCACCCAGGAGATCAAGCGTGTCAGGAGAACCGAGAGCAGCTNGGGGGGGGGGGGGGGGGGGGGGGGGGGGGGGGGGGGGGGGGGGGGGGGGGGGGGGGGGGTCGATGGAGCGCCCGAGAACGGCGTGACACCTACCCAACAGCAGCAGCGGCAGCAGCCGCGACCGAACGGCGGCGGCAAGGCCGAAGGCGAGGAGAAGAGCGGGCTTGGGAAACTGGGAAAAGAACGGACTTCAGCTGGCGGCAGCGAGCCGCAGACAGCGGGAAGCAAGGGCAAACAAGATCCCCCCCCGAAAGTCGGCGGCAGCGGCAATGCCGCCGGGGAATCATCAGGAGGGGATGAGGGGGTCAGGGCCGAGGGTAAATCTACAAAGCCGAACGGCGTGGCGGTAGCGGGTGCGGCATCGTCATCGCCATCCAAGGCTGCCGGTGCCATGCCGCCGCCCCTGCCGAAGTCGTCCGCGGTCGATCTGCCTTCTTCTACTTCCTCTCTGTCTTCTTCGGGACCAGGAGAATCACCTTCGTCCACCAGCGACAGAAAAACAGCGGTTAAGGCGCGCAGCAGCGAAGGAGCGAGGCCGGGACCCGAAGCCAGGAAGGAGACCAAGAGGCAGGCTGCGAAGGGAGAGGGGAAGGGGAAGGGGAAGGGCGCGGAGGAAGGAGCGGGAGAGGAGAGACGCACCATCAGCCAGTGTCCCGACCACGCGCTGCCGGTGGCCCGGACGTTCTTTGACTTTGAGGCCGTGAGCGACTTGGAGATGAGGATGCTCCCGGAGTTTTTCACCGGCCGGAGTGCGTCCAAGACGCCGGAGGTGAGCAGTCGGGTCGGGCTCACAGGACAGAACAGAGAGGGGAAGAATTGGGGCTCGCGAGAGAGTGTGCTCGTGTTTTTGTGGGTACTGCCCTACTACGTTGCTGCGACGTTTCTTTTGTCTGTTTTTGGTGAAGTGGAGACGCGAGAGATTGGTACATTGGCGCCGCGGTGTGTAGCGCCCCATTATTCGAGGGGGTGTCGACGGGCCGACCGGCCCTGTCTCACTTGTGTTGGTTGTTCGGTGCGCTGGGTTTGTGGGACAAAAATCACTGCATGCGTGTACAAGTATTAGCGCATTATACCATTTCTGCTTTGTGATGTTTGTGCGTGACCCAACACACACTGCCTCCTCGCGCTGTTGGTGCTGAAAACGTTTTATACCCAACGCGCTCCTTACACAGATGTACATGCAGTCGCGGAACTACATGGTCCGGTCGTACCAACGCATGCTGGAGGTCGACCCGGATGGGCAGGCGTTTCTGACGGGGACAGAGTGCCGGCGAAAGCTGGCCGGAGATGCTTGCTCCATCTTACGGTGCGTGGTGGAGATGGGGGGCAAACCTGTCCTGGGCGACCATGTGCTCTTTGCTCGCGATTGACTCGTGCCAACCGCATGGTTGCGTGTGCGGTGTGCAGGTTGTTGAATCGAACCCCATACACGTACGAACGACATCACGTGGACATCCGCCAGCACGAAAGTGTGTGCAATGTCTCTGTGCGGGGGGTTAGTGCTCACATCAACTAAGTGTACCCGGCATTTTCATCGCTTGTGTCAGCACAAATTCCGATTGTTTGGGGGGGGTGTACTCATGGTCGTGCATGCCGTAGTCGTTAAACCATTGACCTCGCGTCCCTACAAAGCCGGGACGGAGCACGCCGGGTTCTCACCGGACCAGGCTCTCACATCACCAAGCGCGTAACGCCGTGAGGTATTCGGCGAGTCGCATGGAGGGTGCGCTGCATCCTGCTGAGGGTGTTCGGCATCTTGTGCTTACTTCCTTGCGTACGGATGACAGCTGCGTATGACTTAATTTACTTTCTGGTGCTTTCACTTCCTGAGACAGTTGTGAGCACTGTGTGACTGCCTCGAGGGTGCTTGACCAATATTAACACAACGTGGTGCGATCATCCGCCTTGCGGAGTGAGCGTTCTCGACCCCGCAAACCATAATCTGCTCGACCACCATTCATGGTAACCGCAAAAAAAACAAACCGAAGGCAAAAAAACCGGTAACCTGTTTGCCCAGTTCACGAAGTGAATTGACTTGTATTACACCGGGGGGGAGATTGTTTGGTTGTTTTGGGGGGGGGGAGTGATTGTTTGGGTGGGGGGGCGGTCAACAGATTCGCGATTGTTTGCCTGCTTAATTTCTCGAAGCGTCAGGTGTTACCCTTGCTTGGGAATGTTCTCGCTGTTTTCCTGGAGCTCACCTATTACGTTTGGTGTTGTGACACTCGTCCATCCGGCCCAACCTCCCCTGCGCCCCCTCCCCCCATCCGTTTGCGTTTTTTGTAGGATACACGACTTCCTCGACCGTTTCGGCCTCATCAACACCCGTGCAGTCGGTCAGCGCCCGGCTTCCTACTCCATAGCGCCGCCCGCCACGCACCTGTGGAACCAGACCCCTCGGTCCGCGGGGCCCCCTCCTCCCACCCGCCGAGCAGCAGCAACAACGGGCGGACACGGTGGCGCTTCTGCTGCTGCCGCTGCTGCTCCAACGACGACAACCGCAGAGCGGGGGGTTGGGCGGGGAGACGGGGGAGGTAAGCCGGGAGCGCTGCGGGCGCAGCAGCGGGCCGGCCTGGGCTCCGGGGCCGGCGGCGGCGGTGGCGACGAAAGGGAGTGGCGCCGGGAGGAGCTGGTTCTCCTGATGGAAGCGGCGGTCGCGAACCCGAACCGGTGGGACGCCGTGGCGCGCCAGGTCGCGGGAGGGCGGACACCCGTGGAGTGCATGCAGCGGTTTCTCAGCCTGGCCGTCGAAGATGTGGTCCAGGGCAACGAGAAGCTTCCGGCGGCCGTGCCGGCGGCGGCGGCGGCTTCCGCTGGGACAGGGGCTTCAGTCGAGGAGGCGGCGGGCTCGACAGCGGGGGCGGGCGGCGGGGGCGGCGCTGCTGCTGCTGGCCAGCAGACCGCAACCGCTGGCGGCAGTAGCAGCAACGGCAGCAGTGCTGGTGCAGCAAGTGGCGAGGGCAAGGACGCAGGTACCATCCCCGATCAAGGAGGCTCGCAGAATCGACCGAACCAGCAGCAACAGAGACCGGACTATTTGGGCCCAGAGGTGCCCGCGCTGGTGCTCGCGTCGGCGCTTGTCTCTAGCGTCCACCCGGAGGTGCTCAAGGCGGCGATGTCCGCCGCCGCGGAGGCTGCCGACGCCGTCACCGCTGCCGCCACCGCGAACCACGACAGGGATAGGGGTTTCCCACCCGCCGGGGGTAGCGGCGGTGGATTTAGAGCAGGCGTACCGGCGGCGGTAGAAGAGAGCGGCAGCAGACCAGGGGAGGAGGACGGTGACCTCGAGATGCCAGACGTGAAGGATTTAGCCGGGCCGGCACCCAGAAGCCGGCCAGGAGAACCACCGGCAGTGGACACGGCGCCTGTCGCCGCGAACGGCGGCGGGGCAGGGGCAGGAGAGGATGGTCGTGTCGCTGTTGGTGGTGCCCCGGGTTCACGAGCGGCTAGGGGTTGTGCCGGTGGTAGCAGCAGCGCCTCCCTGAGCAGCAGCGCCGGTGGGCTTGAGCTTGCGACCGCCGCGCGGGCGGCGGTGCTCTCGGTGGCCGGGCTGCAGGCCCGCGGCTTGGCGGAGCAGGAGGAACGGCGAACGGAAGCGCTCCTCGCGGACCTCCTCGAGGCCAGGTAAGTCATCCTGTTTGTCGGAAGGTGTTCTACTTGTATTGTGTCGGGGTAGCTCCGAGTGTTGTGCGGTCCTTTATTTTGCCTATAATCATTTTCCTCCTGAAACCTGTTTAGTCTTGCACAAAAACATACTGTCGCTGCGTTATATCTGTCCGGGGGGAGAATATGATGATTGTGTTGGGGGTCGATGAAGGTTACGCCACGAAAAGTGACTACAAAGCCTTGTCCGTGGCCTGCAAGTTTTATCCTCGCCTGCGTATAAGTCATCCTCATCCCCAATCTAGTCGTCTCATCGCCCAGAAAAGGGAGGGTCAAAACGCCACCAAGCGATGCGCCAGATGAAGCGAGATTTCGGTGCCGAGGAAGGTTAGCTACTTCAGGGGGGAACTTCCATGACACCATTTAGCACGCCTGAAGTACGCCAACAGTAATTCACACGGGAAATATATCAATCAACCTATGATATGCCCGCGGAAATCACCAGTGTGTTTGCAAGTTTCAGACAAGGACGCGTCACCGCTATTATTCCCGAAAAGGCTAGGAGGACATACATATTTACCGACAGGTGGTGTGTGTGTGTGTGTGTGTGTGTTTGGCCCCTAACTCTATTTTTTGGGAGATCTAGGGGCGATTGTGGGAGATCTCCCCGACACGAGCCCGTGTTTTTCCGGGCGGTCTGTCCGCGTTGGCGGTGAAGCTGTCTCGTTTCACAGCAGTGGTGTTGTTGTTGGTTGCTCGGAAAACGAAGAGGAGGACGTTCGTTTTTCTGGGAGACGAAAAGAAGGCGCGAAGAGAACGTCTCGTGGGAAGGACATCCATGTAGCCGACACTTTGCTGCCGTGTCCAAGAGTGCTCCAGGTTCGCTTCCTTGGAGGATGTCTCTTGGGATGGAGATCTAGGTAGATGACAGTCTGGGTCCTGTTCAAGAATGCTCTAGTCGCCCTTACCGTCCCCCGCGGCGATTATACCGCACCTCAGAAACGCCGTTCGCGGCATGCCCCTGCTCGTGTGTGTTATTGCTTGCTGCCTGCGCCTTGGAACCACTGTACTTGAATTGCATTGCACACGGGCCGCGTGCAGAGTTCAACGGTTGGAGGCGAAGCTGCACTGCTTTGATGAGCTCGACCAGGTCAGTTTTGCTGCTGCTGTTGTTGTTGTTGTTGTTGTTTTCAAAGAGCGTTCTTTTTATTTTCTCATCGTCATTATGTTCTTTGGTTGTCCTCGCTCGCATGCAGTACGTCCGCTCCCCGCGGTGGAAATCAAGTCGAGTTAGATCCCTCTTTGAGTTATACCATGGTAGCCACTGGTAAATTCATTTAGCACATATGCACATGTACTTTATTGTTGTCGTTGGAACCAACAGACCGGCCGCCCTGGGTTCCAGTGGGTAGCAGCAGATTGTGGGTTCGATTCCCACTCTGAAGTGAAATCACATTTTGGCAGGTTGTGAGCTCGATTCTCTTTCTGGAGTGGAATCGCACACATTGGATTCTCTCTCGGGAGTGCACAAAAAGGGTCACGGGAGAGTGGGCAACGATTCATTGGAGAGTACACCCACGTTTGTGGTCGATGAGGGGAAAAGGAGGGCTAAAATCCTTCTCATGAAGCAAGCACGGCAGGAGGAAAGATTAGGCACCAAGACCAAATTGCCAAATAGAAAAGCTCCTGTGTGAGCCCGGCTGCTACTTGAACAACATACACGCCGAAAGGCGTGTAGGTTGGCGCGAGATTAGATGGGACGAAAACACACACCAAGCTTAGCATGACAACAACCGTAGTATGCATGCCGAGGTCATGACTGCAGTCCGGCTCAAGTGGCATGGCTTTCCTTTTGACGGAAACGCATCGCTGGCGGACAGTGATTGGTATGGTTGACAGGACGAGTATCTTCATGGCAGCAACAGCTTCAATTTTTGGTTGCGACACCGCTGTGCTCCTATTTTTACCGAGCTGATGCCAACGAGCGTGTTTGCGTGCAGCACCTTCGTCTGAGAAAGGTTGTCTAAAGACCTTGTGTCATTAACGAGTGACAGAAACTAGGAGGCAAGTGGGGCCCCGCATGTCATGTCCATGCCCATGTCATCATCTACGTAATCCCCCCCCCGCCGCCGCCCCCGCCCCCCGCCCCCCGTCGGAGGCCCTGTAGATCCGTACTCTGCCGAACACCC